GCAAAGAGACTACGCAGATTAAATAGCACACTATCATATATTCAAAGGACTCAGATGGAGACATATTTAAAAAAAGGAATTACACTATGGTTGATAAGTACTATTATAAATACATCTTGAGGAGTATAGAAGATGGTTCACAATCCCAGGAAAGACTTCTTGAAAGAAGAGAGATAAAAACAAAAAATTAGAGTATGAATAGGAATTTACTGTATAAAGGCAGAGAGTGCAAGTAGAGACTAATCAGGTTAGTAACAAAGGCACTCCAGGTATTGGAAAGGGCAGATTCAAAGGTGAAGAGGAAGAAAAAGAGCCTTGTCTTACGGTCAGGGATAAAAGTCAGTTTAGAGTAACTGGGCAATTCAATGTGAGGCATGAATGGTAAGAGATGAGAACTGAGCATTGAACAGGAGCCAGGTGGTGGAATATTGTTTATGCTCTGAAGAACACAGACCTCTGCACTGTGGGCATTGGAGAGCTGAGAAAATATCTGAACAATGGGAATTATGTGTTCATTTTTCCATGGCATGGATAACTTGGGTATAGATATGCAACTATGTGAATCGTTTATTTGCAGGGGTCACACTGGAAGAAGAAATACTTGTTATGAGATGCCTATACTTCAGGTGAAAAATGAGGTAGCCTCAATCTAGGTAACAATTCTAGGCTAATCTTTCTAGATGATAAGAAGAGGTTTCCATTTCTAGATATATCTAGTAGGTAAAATTGACAGGACTTTATTATAGTTGGATATACAAGATGAGAAAGAGGAAGAAACCAAAAGTATTTTCAAAGTTTCTAATCTGAGTCTGACTGGTTGGTGGAATAGAGAATGAGAGAGGCTAAGAAGGTTCAAATGATAAAATGAATTCCATTTTTGGCATGTTCAAATTTATGGTGCCTGTGGTATAGTCAGAGAGTTGCCAAGGTAACAGTTGGATATACAAATCTGAAGTTCAAGAATAGATGATGTAGATCTGGGAGTCATCAGCATATTGGCAGTTGTTGAAATCATGCACCAAAAAATCGAATAAATGGGAAGAAGTAATATGAAACAGAGGTTAATTATATCTAGCTATATTACAGACAATGCTCACGTCTATCAACATCCTTGTCATCCTTCCTCATTTATTCACAACTTTGACACATGGCTCAATTTATTTTTCTCCAGTCTAAGGAAACCATCATTACAGCTGGTTCATCAAACCCTTTAATCTCTCAGTTCCTTGATCAGCTTTGAAGTCCTTCGCTAACTCTTAAATTCTGGAATTTGTATCCACGCACCTATAACTTGTTCTCCTCTATTACATTTCAGAGCAAAAATTAGGCTTAAGTGTCCTATTTTATAAATACAGACTCAAAACTCATTTACACTGATGTTTCGCTCATTTTTTTTGTCACCTTATTGAGACCTCTACTACTCTCTCCTACTACTATTCTCTCAATTTCTTTTTCTTCTTCTTCTTCTTCTTTTTTTTTTTTTTTTTTTTGAGATGGGGTTTCATTCTTGTCACCCAGGCTGAAGTGCAATGGCGCAATCTCAGCTCACTGCAATCTCTGCCTCCTGGGTTCAAGTGATTCTCCAGCCTCAGCCTTCTGAGTAGCTGAGATTACAGGTGCCTGCCACCATGTCTGGCTAATTTTTTGTATTTTTAGTAGAGACAGGGTTTCACCATGTTGGCTAGGCTAGTCTCAAACTCCTGACCTCAGGTGATGTGCCTGCCTTGGACTCCCAAAGTTCTGTGATTACAGGCATGAGCCGCCATGCCAGGCCTACTCTATCAATTTCTACTCCTACTCTTCATTACATTCTCATTCTTAGTCCTTCTATTTAAAGTTGTTCCTTGTACCCCATGATCTACTATTTCAATCATTATCTTGCAATGATCTACAATCATTTGTCTTGTTATTCCTTTTTTACATATGCCTAACTATCTGCAGCTGGGTCTAATTCATTATGTTTTATTTATTTAATAAACACTTATGTGATACATATAAGTTATATCTAAGAACGTCACAATTTTAGCCACTTATTAATAAACTTTCATAAAAACCCATGAGGTGGGCACATCCAGGATGTTCTCTGCAAGAGGAACTCACACCATCACACAAGTTTGTGACTCCCAACTTGAAACAGAAAATTCTTCTTTAATTGGTATGCTCTCTGTGGAGAAACCAACTACCATACTTTGAGAAAGTCAAACTGTCTCGTGCAGAGTGACCTTATGGCAAGGCCCAAGTGAAGAAAAAGCTGAGGCCACTAGCCCACAGCCTGTATCAACTACCAGACATATGAGTGAAGTGAACAAGCCTTTGGATGATTTTAGCCTTTGGCCTCTGAGTTGTCTAGCAGAAACCTCAGGCATCATAGGGCAAGGACAAGCTTTTTTTGTTTCAATAATAAAGTTCTTGCTAAATCCAATACATTTATTTGATTCTTTGAAATGTTTAACATAGTCAACCAAGCATGTACTACTACCTGCTCTGATTTTCACTTGCGATTTCTAGTCACTCCTCATCAGACACCACTGAGCGCTCCTCTACCCTTTCCTTTCTTTAGAGCTCTGTCCTAGGCTTTGTATGGACCAGTGAGCCTCAATCAGGAGTTCTCAATTAAAACCTACTCTGTGTGATTTCATTCACTCCCATGTCTTCGAAATTTCCTACATTCTAATATCTCCTAAATTTATGTTTAGTCCAGATGTCTCTTCTGTGCATCTGACAAATATATCAAACCACTAAGCACACATTAGTAATACTATCTTGAATGTTTCACAGATAGCTCAAACTCAACGTGTAGCAGAATGAATGTATCATCTCTCCAGTCATATTTTTCTGTTTTATTTTTTCAGTAAATGAGATCAACATCCAATATACATAATTTTCTATTTAAAAACCTAGGATAAAACTTTATCTCTTTTTTTTCTTCTTCAGTACTGACCCCCATACCACTATATAGCTAATCAAAGCCTATTGATTCCATTTCATCAATACTCTTCTCTTGACTTCCAATGCTACCTTACCTTTGCACAAGCCACGTCAACTCTTATCTCAGTTATTATGACAGTCTTCTAATTTGTCTCACTTTTCACATTGCCTTTTTTCAGTCTCTTCTCCACATTATAACAAGAACATTTCTAGAGTAAAATGTGAACCTGTATTTCCTGTTTATTATCTTTAAATATCTGATGATTTCAAAGATTAGTTCAAACTCCTTATAATAACAAATGCAACTTCAGCTTCATCTTTACTAGAATCCCTCTGCTTGGCCTATTTTAATTTCTCTTTCACTTCTTGGTCTGAAATTCCATCCTAACCATTTATGTCTACATTTCTCCATTTGCCTTCTACAAGAAGCTCTTTCCATAGTTAATTCTGTCTCTGTGTATAAATTGTTAATTTAAAAAGCCTTCTCTGCCACATTAAGTTATATTAAGCTTTTCTACACCTATGACCTCCTAACAGCCTATTCTTATTCTATCACAGAACTTTCTACCCACAGTTGTAATTCCGTATTGACATGTTTGTGTCTCATTAGACTTCTGTCATGGCTCGATGATGGCAAGGACACTTTTGCTCACCATCACAGACTCAGTGATTAGCAAAGTTCTATGTAGATAGTGTAGATTAAATATTTACTGAGTTAATTATTAATGAATGAACTAAAAGTATCTGTGAAAAACATACAGTAACAAGTAACCTTAGTCAGAGCCTTGGATACGGAAATGTAGGGGGACAAGCATGCTTACAAAAGTTTAAGGGCTAGATTAGAAGTGAGGAAGTGAGATGAAAGTTAGAATAGAAAAATGAAGCCTAATGGAAGTTCCAATTGAAAATAGGAATAAAAAATAAGATACTATCAAGAATTGTATTTCTGTTCTTGTGTCAGTTTGCTGAGAATGATAGTTTCCAGTTTCATCCATGTCCCTGCAAAGGACATGAACTCATCCTTTTCTATGGCTGCATAGTATTCCACGGTGTATATGTGCCACATTTTCTTTAACCAGTCTATCATTGACGGGCATATGGGTTGGTTCAAAGTCTTTGCTATTGTGAACAGTGTTGCAATAAACATACATGTGCATGTGTCTTTATAATAGAATGATTTATAATCTTTTGGGTATATGCCCAGTAATGGGATAAAATGAATATCTAAAATTATTTGTTAATAAAAAATAAAATATCAAAAATAAAAAAAGTTGTAAATATTAACACAAAAGTATCACATTGCAATTGGAACACACATCTCTCCTCTTCAATATATGTGAAGAGCTTGCAAGAGACTATCAATTTTCTTACTATTTCATTTTCTATGAGGCAATAGTCTCAAGTAAGGAATGTAATAAATCTTATTCCATTTTGAAACAGTGAGAGTCAAATAATTAATCAGAGACATTTAAAGAGTTGAGCAGATAGGATATTGAATAACAGAGCAATGATATTCTTTAGAAAATAGTGAAATTGTAAGTTAAATCACCAGTAACGATTACATATTAAAGTAAAAGATAAAACATAAAATTTCTCATCAGTCTTAAATTAACCAAAGTCTTTTCAATGTCAATGAATATTTTTAATGCATGAAATCATGTCTCTGAACAAAGAACATGTCCTAACATTTCTTACATACGTAAATAATTAAATAGTACCTTCTCTGGTAATAAGTAGTTTCATCCTAGTAACACTATTTCTCAAAAAGTCAGAGTTTGGAGAGGAAAATCTGATCTTGATGTTTTTTGTGAACTCTACCTTTGACATTCACTTTTGCCTTTGTTGATGAAATGGAACTTACATCAAAAGACAATGAACCATTATTGCTGGAAACCTGCTGTGTCTGAGATCCAGTAGGAGGAAGTAGGACATGTTCTTTTCTGAGCATTGTTGTGAGGACCCTTCAGAACACTTATTGATGTTAGATACAGAACCTTATTAACTGAATGCATGGCATTGGAAACATCGCATTCTATTTTTTTAAAATACTATAATGTACTTTTGCTTCTTACCTTGTTGTACAAAAGATCCATACACAAACCACATGGAGTTGTAGAGCGTAGTAGACGTCATTGATCCCATTTGTAATCGTGGGGGATTAAGCCAGTTCAAGAGGTAGACCAGTAGACCCACCAGAAGGACTGTGCCAGCAATGCAAGCCCATAGAGAGAGATCAAATGGTGCAAGACAGGCAAACATATCCACTGTCTTTTCAGCCCTTCGAAGTAGTACTCCCACTGAGTAGTCCATGTAACGTGTTGTAAAGTCCACCACATTCTCACGATCTGGAGTGATGGTTAAAGCAGAAATCCCTATGTCGGCTCTCTGAGAAATTGAAAGAGAAAGGAATACATTAACAGTGTGAAAAACAATTTCATTTGTGCCACTTCAGCTTGCCTCGAGGAAAAAAAAATAGATGCCTCAGGCAATATAATTCTTTTTATATAAACTGAAAAACACTGCAAAGACTTCTTACAGAAGAGCCATATGTGAAATTTGCATTTCTTACTGAAAATCTTGCCCCACTAGAGTTAGACAAATTACTTTGTTTATGTTATCAGTGCATGTAAAATCAGTGAAGAATATTTAAGACACAGATTACACAGGGAGAAAATTATCTTTTTTCCTGGGTCATTTTTATCAAAGCCATCATTAACAGCAAAGGAAAAGCTTATACTGGAGATTCCTTTCTAGGAACATGTTCCCAAGATATTCAATATGTTCTTAACATGTAAATTATTAGGTAGGTTATTTAGAAACATCAACATGGCATTTTACCTTTGTTTTCTATTTCTCTGCATATAAATTTATATTACTGGGCTCTAAACAGATTTGTTAGAGTTTACACAACACTAAGTTGCCATATGCCAGAGGTCACTACTATGATTGTATTGTATAAACTTCAGAAACATTTTAATGAACAATTAATGATTAAGGAAAGAGGATTCTTCTTGGGGTAATAATCCCCTTTTTAAGATGTCTTTTAGATTCTCAGTGATAGCACTCTTAGCTACAGCATATTCTATTTTACTTATTTAAAACATCACAGAATCTCAGTAAAGCAGAGGGTAGATGATTTCACATTTAAATTGCATAACATGATGATACATATTTAAGTATCTAAAATATGTATCTTTTTTGAAATAATGATCTTCAGCTGTGATTAAAGCTGCAGAATGTCCCTTCCAGACAAACAGAAACACTAGTACATTATTTGTTGAACATTTTCTCATTATTTTCCTTTTAATTGTTTCATGAAAGAAAATGAAAACTTGTTTTATAGCATATGGGGACAAATCCAAGAAAGACATGAAAAGTAACATGCCTAGTGGAATGCTAATCAAACTGGAATAAATCTAGGCTAAAAGTAATAATGCTTTTAAAAATATTCTAGCTATACTTAGGCAGTGTGGGTATGTGTTTGTATGCCTGTGTGTACCAAGATCATATATATTTGTTGTGAGGCCCAGTGTTAAATATTTATGTCATTATTTTTTACTTATTCCTTACAATGAGCTATGAATTATGTGTTTTCCTCTCCATTTCATAAGTGGAGAAACTAAACCTAAGAAAGTTTAAGTACATTGTTCAGATCTCAGTTAATAAGTACAGAAGCCAGATATTAAAACTATGTTTTTCTCATTCTGAAGCTTGTGCTCATAATCACTTTACCATATTGCAGCTATCATTCATTTTCCAAATGAACCATATAGTAAGCACTCAGGGTAGTTGGTTCTAGGAAAATTTTTATATTAAAAGTGTAAAAATTTGCTGTTTTAAAACTGTACTGTTTACATTGTAACAAGACCATATTAGCATATGTACCATGGATCTACAATTATTTACTGAAAGTTATTAAACTTAATGACACTATGTGAAAATGAACTTGCAGAAAAATATTGCTTTCAAGCTCATATATGTATTTAATTTTTTATAGCAAGATATTGGGAATTGGGTCTTTTCAGATGGAAAATCTAACGCTGCTCTTTAGCTCCCTTGTCCTGTCTTTTCTGAGCTTTGGTTTATCTCTTTGTGAAATAAATGTAACTGTTTAGTATCATTATTGTGAGATGACTCATTTATCTGGATCTTAATGATGAATAAACAACTCTCTAAGATTCAATTAGGCTCTCAGAAGATGCATTTACTTTTTCAGGCCATTAAAGTACTATGGATCAGTAATTTACTAATTGATCACTAGCGACCCAAAGCATTTAATGACTCAACCAAAGTCAGAAAATTCCACCTGAGCAGGAATTTACTGACAACATGTTGATAATATGTATTAAATGTTCATAAATATTTTTCTAATAAGTAATTATGTGTTCTACCTTTAAACGATTATAAATTAAATGGTTACTTTACTGATTTTAATAATGGATACATCTAAACATCACAACCTGAATTTCTAAAATGGAATAAAAATATCTAAAGTTTTTTACTTATTTAGGAAAAGGGAGCTGATTATTTGTATGTGCCAAACTATTAAATTTAACAATTATTTGTCATATATCTATAAACAAATTCCTAAATTCTGCCTATTTTCAACACTTGGCTATTCTTGGCTATTCTATATTCAGGAGAAATTTCTAGCTTTTCCATGGAAGGCATATCAGAATCATATAATGAACTTTTCATAACACACACACACACACACACACACACACACACACACACACGAGTTTCCTTTCTCTAAGTTTTGTATAGTTTTTCCTAAAAAGGTGCTTCACTCCACCGTTCAGAATCAATGATATAGCAGCCCACTGTGATGGGTAATGAGCAAGTGGTAGTCCTTTCTTGTGTTAGAGGTGCTGCACTGAAGAAAAAAAAAAAAAAAAAAAAAAGCCAAGGACCGCTAATTCCGAAAGACAGTCCTAAAACTTCCTAAATATTAATAAGCAACAAAACCAGAAATAATCAAAGAAGATCATTTAGGTGTTTATTTATTTGGTCAACTCACTTGTACACTTTTTACTGTGACTTGTCACATCTTTACTCCCACTGTTATTATATAGAGAACACAGAATATATAAGATTAAAATTCATAATTATTTCTATGTTCCAACCTATTGCCCATACCCAGTCTACTCTATTTAACCCCTTTTACAATATAGGAGTTGCCCCCTTCCTCAGGCTAACCCTCCATCAGTAAACGTATCAACCACTCTCCATTTCAGCTATTTAAGTTCCCATCTTATGAATTCAACATCATCCTATTAACTAGATTTCCCGTTAAAATATTCTTTGTTTGTTGTTAAAATGAAATTAAAGAGATTGAGCCCTTCCCTCTAACCTCTCTATCTTTTGGTTACTCCGTGTTACCACCTTTTCTCTCTATTTTTATACATCCCAGTCAGTCTGAGAAGACTCTTTTTTTTTTTCTCCATATTGTTGGGTACCCTATTCCTCATGGAAAAAAGTACTTTTTAATTATTATATTGTGGAATCAAGTGGATACACCTCAAAGCTCATCTGATCAGGTTTCTTGACAACATTTCAAACACAATTTTCCCTTGAATTTCATGACATAACATACACCTCTTTCTCGGTTCCTTTTTCAAGCTCATGTTAGCAATTCTCTGAACTTGGGCTTACATCCTTTTCTCATTTGAGATCTTCTGCCTGTGCAATCCCATCCATGACTATTACTGCTATTGTCCCCATGTACACACGATTTTATGAATGTATATTTCTAGATGTGTATCTGAGCTCTGGAGTCTAGACTGATTTATTCAACTACATAATTGACATTTCTACTAAATGTCTCAAAAACACCTCAAATTTACATTAAACATGGCCAACATCATACAATATTCAACTAGTCCGCTTCCAACATCTCTTGCTTTAATGAATGGCGTCTTTTTACATAAAGCATACAACTTGCTAGCCTTATTTTCTTCTCCAGCCTATGTCCCCTGTCAAATCTGTCACTATAGATTTTACCTCCTGAGAATCCTAATAGCTATTCATCTCTCTACTATTTCTAGCTCTCATCATTGCTTTCCTAGGCTCCAGCTCCTTGTAAGACTACCTGAAATTCACCTTTCTCCCTCTTCAATCTCGCTACCGTAGCCAAAGTAATCTTTCTGTAGAGCATATCTGATCCTGTCTCCTGCCACACGTTAAAGGTTTTCAATGAATTTGCATTGCTCTTAGGAGACAGATGAAAACCTTTAACATGGTTTACACACCTTTAGGTAGACTATCCCCAACCTGCTTCAATATATTTATACCGTACCATTTTCCCTTCCAGCACTTCTTCCTGATGCATGGTCTTTGTACATGCTGCTCCCACAGTCTGGATTGACCCTCCTGAAACTTCAAGTAAAGTCTCATTTGTATTCATATGTCAGCTCAATTTTCATTTTCACAGAGAAGCTATCCATTATCTCTTTGATTAGAATAATAATTATTATTTACACTATCAGAAGCCTGCATCCCTCACTTTCCTAGTCATTACAACAGTTGTAATCTTACATACATTTATATGATCTTTTCAATAAGGTTTGATTCTTCTCCTAGGCCATAAGCTCCATGAAAGCAAGGACTGTGACTTTTAAAAAATTACCTATCGCATTTTCTGGCATAGAATTCATGGTCAATAACTACTTGCCATGAATATGTGAATAAATGAAGAGGACCCCCTACTAAACTTTCATTACCTAATTATTATAAATCTCTTCCATCTTTTTGTCAGCATTTCCAACAGAAAGAGTTATTTAAAAAAGAAAATTGCAATATGAAAATTGACTGCTTCATAGCAATGATAAAATATTAATATCCTGAATAATTATGTCAATAACTAAAGTAAGGTTCTTGACTTATCTGTATATTTATGCTTATGTTATTTGAAAATAGCTAAGATAATTAAGCATCTACTATAGTACATACAATATATTATAAAATACTATATGTTAAATATTTAATGTAAAATGCTTATTTAAATTTTGATTAGGACTAGCACTAAAAATGGAATGTAAATACTTTTTTCTAATTATTTGAATTACATAGTCATAATATTTTCCTTGGGAGAACATATAAGATTTGCATTCTTTCAAGTCATGAAAAAGAGGTAGATGGATGATACAACGGAGCGTGACTAATAAGCAATATAGTCACTGAATCTTAGCAGCTTAACGAAATTGAAATACATTTACTCCAAATTTAATCTGAAATAAATTATTATATGTAACAAGTAAAAATCTAATTTGTTCTTGAATGTAATGCTAAGAACATTATATTGGTATTAATAGTTATGAATTTACTTAGTGTTTGCTGTATACCAAGTGTCATGTTATGTGTTTTGCATACATTATTTTAATATT